GCCGCACTCCATCGTGTCCCCCTTCTTGAACAGCACTTTGATGGTGGCATCCTCCAACTGCTGTGGTACGCCCCCCGTCAGCCACACGTCCACGACAATGGCGTGGAACTCGCGGAGGAGACCTTGATCTCCGTCCAGGAAAAGCGTGATCAGCTCAGCCGGTAGGTCGTCCGGCCCGACGGCCTTTCTATTGGCCATTTCCCGTACCGCTTCCTCAACCTCAGGTAGAGATGGGATGTCGTCGAGTGGCACGTACGTGGGCCACTGCTTGACCTTGTCAGCCGCATGCAGGTCGATGGTCGGCGACTTGGTGTTGAGAAGCTTGTGGAACCACCGTGCCCACCGTTGGNTAAGTGACCTCTTACCTTCGACGTCGACCATCTTCAGGTGCCTGTAGAAACCCGTCTGATCACNTTGTGGAACCACCGTGCCCACCGTTGGCGAATAAACGTGGGGTCCCGAATTACCTTGCCGTCCTCGTCCTTGGTGTTCTGAGATGTGAAGGACCTCTTACCTTCGACGTCGATCATCTTCAGGTGCCTGTAGAAACCCGCCTGATCCCCCTCGCGGCTCTTCTTCTCGAGCTGCCGTACATAGCCCTCGAAGAACTTTTCCAGTGCTCTCCACCTCGCGATGCTGCGCTTCTTCCGCGCCGCCTTGAGCATCGCCTTCAGGGTCGCCTCGCAGGCGCTGTTCGTTGAGGCCCCACGCAATTGCTGCTGGGCCGCCTTAATCTCTCAAGACGCTTCGGAGATCTCGTGTTGCGCTTCGCTCGTGTACCAGCCTCTCTGCCCTCGTGCGCACCTCGCCAGCGGTGTGTTGGACAGATCATCAGCAAGCACATTATTGGCGAGGAGATGGATGAAAGCATCGAGTCCCTCACCACAAAAAGTGCATACAGTAGGTGGCCCGATATAGTGGCATGTAGGGGCAAAAGGAAAATATGTCACTGTTCAGGGCAGTGCCATAACTGTATTCGATAATCATATCGGGTTCATGTACGGACATCCATCGAGATTATGACAAGAGATTGTTATGTATGTCGGGCTATACGCATGGATGGGTATTCTGAGAAGTGCCCTCTATTTCCGTCCAGGGCCGGTCGTGGCTGTTTTTTTCGGGAGCATTCGGGCGACATGTGTATCAAACCCTCCGGCCGAACATGCTAGTTTTCAAGCGGCTAGAGGACGACTTGCGGTTAGGGTTGGTGTTATTTCGGGGTAGCTCCTTCGGGTTGCACTTTGTGGACTCGAGGACAATTATCTTTCCGTTTGCGTCAGTTGCTGCCGGCGGGGCCCCGCCCCTCCCTGCCGCGTGACTCGCCGTTGTGTTGTCAAGTGGAACGCGTGTTGTTGTTTTCCTTCGTTGGCGAAGGTGTGTCTGGCAAAATGCAAGCAAAACAAAAAAAAAACAGGCTTGGGACAAGCACGCCGACGATTTTCGTCGGCTTGTTTTTGAAACAATCGTTGCAACCTCTCCCAAATTCTGGCGACTGGAGTGAAGATGTGTGGCATGTTGTGGAAGGGCTCATGCCGAGAAAACAGTGAGTGAACACGACCATGACCTCCCGAGGGGGGGCATTTTGATGAAGCCGCATAGGTTCGATTCGTTCTCAACGCCCTTCGTTTCCGCCACCACAGGAACCACCCGTTGCTTGTCGCTACAGGATACACCACACATTGATGCGATAAGATTAAAGAAACAAAGTAGGATATCCTTTATCAAGCAGCTGCACCGATAGACTACATGTCGAACCGGCGGATATACCTACACCCACTAGTATTAGGAACACTCTGCTCCCATTTCTTGCCGGTAGGGCGACTTCCTGGACACGCGAGGTCAACAATAGTCTAGTTGGGAGAGGGAACACGTCAGACCGTCTCCTCCATAGTCGATATTTAACGAGGGCGACGCGTTGCTGTAGTGTCTGGGGATGTATCTTCGTGTACAGACTCGCTCGCTCCACCGGCTCTTTTATTTCGCTCCACCGGCTCACTCTTTGAAAAGTCTCGATCCTCGGTTGGTTGTTCGTCACGACTTGCCACGGCTGGTGGGCACGAACTCGTGCCTTCATGAGGGTTTTTGGGGAGTTACAGTTCTCCGCCCGAGGAAGTCGGCCCGTTTCCGACGCTTTGCCACTTCGTCCTAACCTTGCCGCGCCGCGACCGCAAGGGTACACGCGCATGAACCCGTGCCATGATGAGACGAGTTCAGAATCGAACGTGGTCCTCCTGCTTTAGATACGTCCACTGACCGGTCGTCGCGGTTGTCTAGTGGTATCATCGTAATCCGCTTGTCGCAGAGGTCGTGAGTTCGAATCCCCATGAATGGGGTGAAAATTTTACGAAATCTGCGGGTGAAAGCGAAATATAGCTACCAAGCTCTCGTGAGTACCAAACTTCGACGTTAGCACCGTTGACGAGGGAAAAGGACGGGTGGACCCTTCTCGCGATAAAAATAAAATTCAGCTCGGCCTGTCCTCCATCATCGGCCGTTTTATTTTCGATTTAGATACACAAACTTTATTTCTATACTAATTTCAAGTAATTCCACGTTCTTATTCTCCATCATACAAGCAAAACGGCCGATGGAGGACAGGCCTAATTCAGCACGTATCGCAGGAGGAAGGTGGGGCATGAAAAGAAATAAAAAGAAAAAGCCCTGGTGTTTACCTCCTCATGTTGTGTGATCCTGGATGTTTGCTGTACGAAAAATACATTGAAAAGTGTAGTTCTCTACATACGCTGAAAAGTGTAGTAGACGTCTCACCAAGAAAAATGGGGGGACTGTCACCATAATAAATAGGACGAAAACACACAATACATACACTGTACACCGGTCGCCCGGTGGTCTAGTTGGTAACCAAAACCTTGTAGAGGTCAGCTCATGGGTTCGAATCCCGGCGTAAGCGAGCTTTTCTTGCAAAGTGAGAAAGTGAGTTTTTCTCTCGCTTCCGCTCCTGGCCTAGTGAACAGCGCTAGTTCGTGTGTACACCGAGGGAAGAGAGTGCTGAAATCTTCTCGCAGTAAGAATCGAAGGCAACGTACCGCAGGAGGTGAGGGCGGAGAGGGGCTCTTCTGTGTGACCACGGGTTGGGGTAAAACGGCACTATGATAGTAGTGCTGTGAGCGCTGATTTGAAGTGAAGACAAAAAAAAAAAAACTGAAAATATAGAGTACATACAGATGAGCAACGGAAGAAGGTGCGGCTTTGCCTTTTGCCTCACTTTCGGGTTCGAACAAGGTCCATGTCTGGAATGAAGAGGCATGCTAATGTTCCCGTAATCACGGATAGCACTCGCGCTTGCGCAAGGTGTGTGTAGGTTTAGATTGGTCCAGATGTTTGTTGTTGTTTTTGTTTTTCTCCCATCATTGGACTCTGTCGTCTGCCCCTCTACCCCCTCCACTTCTACTAGCTAGACGACCCAACCGGGGTCACATAGGAGGGGGGGGTTGGACCCCCTCCTGCGGTTCATGCCTGAGGTATTTTTATCGCGAGAAGGGTACAGCAATCCCTTCCCTCGCGACTTACCAAGTCGATTAGATGCTATGGTCTATGACGTATATATGTCTACTGAGTAGACATATATACGTCATAGACCATAGGTTTTGATGTTCAAAGGAGTTCCGCGAAATCAACCACTGCGTATGCGCAAGCCTAATGGTTCCTGCATGCGATACCCCTAGAATATTACGCCGCACGCGCGCAGGCTCGCGCGATGAAAGCAGCAGCCTGCGTCGCACACGACTCTGAGCACTTCCCAAGGTGAGATGAATAAGCTCATCCAGCGTTGCTTTGTTGTGCAACGTGATGCTGGTGTACATTTTCTCCGTGCGTACGATAGCCCGTCGCGCGCTTTTCGTAAGGTTGCCCGCAGCAAGCAGTCGGCATCGACCACCTCTGTGTGGGAGGCTCTGTTTGCTGCAGCGGTGTAGTTGCAGGTGCTCCACGCGGTCCGATGACACTAGCACCTGGGCTGTGCATATTGGCAACTATCCTTTGCTTGTGTGTAGTTGCCGTTGTCTCTAAGTCGTGTTCCTCCCTGGTGCTGATGCTTGGTATGTACGTACGTCCTACAACAGCGGCCTGCTGCTGTGTGGACGTAGTGGTCTTGTGGACCGCTCTCGATTGCAACGGACCTACGCTGGAATCTATCTGCTAGTGTCGACACCTGCATGCCCCTTCTATTGCAGCATCGACTTTATGTCGCAACACACAATGACAGGGGAAAAAATGAACCTCTCTGGCGTCGGCGTGGTTGCACCGTTCGTGTGACGTGATATACCCCCC